TAGTGACTTCCTGGGAGGAGCAAAGGACTCCTGATACCCAACTCTGACAGATTTGGGGACATCAGTTCTTCAGACACCCTGGGCAACTGAGTAAAGGTTTGAACAAAGCATATGCAAAGTGGTTCTTTGAAAAAATCTCTGCAGCAGCGTATATGCTGCTCGGTCCCATGTGGTCCTTATGCCCAGGGGGCCAAGCACATGGAGTGTCCCAGCACATGTGTCGCCCTCTTGAGATGTGTACTTTCATGCTTCCATGTCTAATACTGGGATGTGTGTAGGGGCTCTCCCCAATGGCAGAGAGGCCTGTGTTCTTTCTTGAGCGCGTTACTCCCTCTCTCTGATTTTCTTCTCCTGCTCACTCACTTTCCTTCCACAGCTTCAAAAAGCCCTCCAAATATAATCTGTTTCACTTCCCCCAAAATCTCTGCAGTTGTTCACAGGCACTGTTGTGCTGTGGTCCATATCAAATACCATATGAGCCTCAAAGATTTTGAGGTCATGACCAAAGGAGACATGGAGACGTCAACAAATAAATTTTGGAGGAGTATATTCACACCATCTGGTGGGCGGTCCTGCTAGGCAAGAGTAGCAGCCTCCCAGCACAAGTACAGGTTAGGAAAAAACACATCCTACACACGTGTCATTTTCATAAGCACCCAAAAAATTAGTTAACTCATATGTCCCATATCCTGGCACCCAGTAAATTTACGTAGGCATAAAGTGAAGCAAACCTTGACATAGAAAATAATAAAACTGATTACACAAAGCAATCAAGTATTGATCATAAACCACGTCACTCGTGTGGACCCTAATCCATTGTTTCTATTTCACTCCATGATTGGCAGGGTTGCCCTTGTGAAGGATTGCAAGAAATTAAGTCTATAAATACAGTATCAACCTTCAAACTAAACAGGAAACTTATAAATTAACTAAGTTTTGTGTTTTACTATTAAAAACTGTACTACTGTAGCACTGTTGTCCCACTGTCCCATTGTTCATTGATTTGCTCCAGCAGGCACCAGTAACGTCTCCATTGTGAGATGTTGTTGCTGTGTTTCACATATCAAATGCACCCCGGGGAGCTTACCAGGCTCTGCCATGTCGAAAGGATACTCTCAGTAGCTTGCCAGTCTCTCTGAGATGGACGGAGGAGTGAAACCCGGGCCGGCTGTGTGCAAGGCAAACAGCCTATCCACTGTGCTATCTCTCCAGCCCTCCACTTTACTACATATTTTATTCATATTTACCTCTAACAAACAAAAAATCATAGCTTAACAATAGGTCAACGTGTCTGAAAAAGTGACTTTCTCCTGCACACCCACTCTATATTCCTTCTTGAGCACTGGTTCAAATTTTGAAGAATTTAATTTTTGCTGCATAATTCATCCACCACTAAACTAATAAATGACTACTCAGCTACAGGGAAAAGAAGGGACTTTCAATTCATGTGGCTGATTCATTTTAGATTCCAGTTGAATTCAGTGCATTTTCGACATGAGCACTGTTTGAAGAGTTGCTGAGCACAGAGCTAAGGGTAGCTTGAGAACACCAATGGATATGAAGATACACAAACACATATACAGGAATATTGACTGTACATAGAATACTTTCCATTCCTCAATTCCTGAGCGTCATTCTGGGTTACCCCAAGGCCCATTCTGGTGATTGACTTAGTTTCATGTTCAACTGTTGTAACAGAATACATGAACAGTTGGAGCTACTCCAGAAATTGGAAGTTTTGTGCAATTAAAAAATATCAGTCCGGGATGGGGGGTGGGAGGGATACTGGGATCCGCGGTGGTGGGAAACGGTCACTGGTGAAGGGATGGGTATTCAAAATAAATAAATTAAGTAAAAAAATAAAAATATTTAAAAGAGGGGCTGGGGTGATAGCACATTGGGTAGGGCATTGGCCTTGCACGCGGTCGACCTGGGTTTGATTCCCAGCATCCCATATGGTCCCCCGAGTACTGCCAGGAGTAATTCCTGAGTGCATGAGCCAGGAGTAACCCCTGTGCATTGCCGGGTGTGACCCATAAAGAAAAAAAATTTTAGAGAAAAAAATTTTAAAAAATTTAAAAAACATTTTGTCTCCATAAGCTATGTGTTCAGCCCCTCCCTCTCAATCTATCCAGTACATGGTGAGCCCCCAGATGTCCTGCTATCTGATCCAAGACCAGAAACGGAAAAAAAATTGAACTTTGCCCACCTGAAGGTAGGTGTCAGGACTATTTGGAGCCTGGCCCTTTAAGACTCTGACCGGAAGTGTCGGTGACGTCACGGAGCCGCGCCTTTCCCTGGGGTCTTTGGGGTGGCGGAATCTCGCGGTCAGCCAGGGTCCTCGGAGCGTGAGGAGTCGGGGAGGGGCGGGAAGGGGCGACCGGGCGGACTTGGGGGTCCCGCCCGTTTCCTCCTCAGCCGCCAAGGGCTGCTCTGGGCGCCCTGAGCCTCCGCGGTCTCCGCCTTGTGAGCGGGGGTCGCTCCGTGCCGAGCGGGCGGCGGCCCCTCCCCCGGACGCCCCGGCCCCGCCCAGAGGTTTGTCCCTTTTATTCTTGTATTTTAGGGAACAGGGGGGCTCGGCTGGAGGGATCTCATTTGGAAGCTGTGAAGTGGCGCGGGTCCCGGGGAGGCGCTGCCCGCCTGGCGGGGCTTGGGGCTGACTCCAGGCTCTCGCTCAGGGGTCCCTCCTGGGGGCTGGGGGGTCGTTCGCGAGGCCCGCGCCCTCCCTGCTGCCCTGTGGCTCTGGCCCCCAATGGAAGAGAAAGAGTAATGGTGCCTCAGTTTCCCCAGGTCGATGGGGCGTGCGCTGGGCACCTCTCCGTTACTTCCCTCAGAGACACCGGAGCCCCCGGGAACGGGGGGGGGTAGGGGGGGTTACAGGCTGGCGCTGGGGATTTGGCGAGGAAAGTTCCAGGCCAGCCTTTTGCGTCGCCACTTTCATTCATTATGGGGTCAGGGTAAAGGGTCGGTTTCCCTCCAAAGTTGGGAGTGGAGGGGATTCTTTTTTGATAATTACATTGTTTTAATTACGTTTAATTACATTGTTTATTTTTTGATCAACATCCGGCAGTGTTCGGGTCACTCCTGGCTTTGCCCCCGGGGATCCCTCCTGGCATACTCGGGATCCCGTGGGAATGCCGAGGCTCAGTCCTGGACAGCCTCATGCGAGGCATATGCTCTCTCAGTGGACTACCCTCTTCACTGGCTTGGGACTCAGAAGTGTTGGGCTGCGAGTTTGATTTTCCTCGGTTCCATGCGCCTGCAGTAGAATTTTGGGATCCTGGGAGAAGTGGAGCTGTAAGAGACCCTGGCGAAGCAGGTATAGCATCTGGGCTGTGTTGGAACAGAGGGGTTGGTGCAACCAAGTGTGCAAACTTAGCAGGAAGCAGGCTGGTCACTTCTAGGATGTACCCCAAGCACTACCATAGTCTAGAATCACCATTGGCCACAACACCTTCATTGCTTTTTTTAAAAATAATTTTTAGGGTTTTTTTTGTGTGTGTGGAGAGAATATTTGCCCATGTTCAGCTGTTATTCCTACCTCTGCACTCAGGGATCACTCCTAGTGGTGCTCAGGAAAACATATAGGATGCCAGCAATCAAACCTGGGTTAGCCACGTGCAAGACAAGAACCTCAACTCTATCACTTTTATTTATGGGCCACAGCTGGCAGGTGCTCTGCCTCACACTTGGATCTTAGTGCAGGCTGGTTCCTGCAATACTGGTGTGGGGACCCTAGGTGGTCCTGAGAGAAACTGTATATCTGTAAGACGTGTGGAAAGGCCTTCACTCATTTCTGAATCCCAAAAAAACCATATGAATACTCATACTGGAGAGAAGGCTTATGTATGTCAGGAGCGTGGGAAGAACTTTAGCAGATTCTCAGTGCTTGCTGTACATAGGAGAATTCACACTGGAGAGAAACCTCATAAATGTAAGGTTTGTGGAAAGTCCTTCACTACACAGTCAGCCCTGACTGAGCATATGAGAACTCATAGCGACAAGAAGCATTATCTGTGTCAGAAATGTGGGAAGGCCTTTAGCTCACTCTCAGTGCTCACTGTATATAGGAGAAATCACTTGGGAGAGAATTCTTCTGTGTGTCAAGAGTGTGGGGAGTCCTTTAACACAATGTCAGTGCTCATTTTACACAGGAGAATTCATTCGGAGAGAAACCTTCTGTATGTCAGAAGTGTGGGGAAGCCTTTAGCAAATCCTCAGTACTTCCTATTCATAGGGAAATTCACACTTGAGAGAAATGATCTGTTGTAGTTTGGTGCTCATGAGCTCCAGTGTGTCTCCATTCTTAGAGGTGTTACATACTGGGATTAATTTATTGAAGTATGTTTTACGTAATTTATTGCACACTTGGCAGCTCTTAGGAGTTTGTCCTGGTGTTGTTCTGGATGTCAGAAATGGAACTCAGAGAAAGCGTGTTCAACACAAGCAATAAGCCACAGTACAAACGTCTGGCCCCATACTCTTGGTTGAAAACGTGTTTCTCTAGCTGCATCCTGGTGTTTCCTTTTAGGTGAGAGTTCTCTACTCGCATGTTTTCAAGGGATACCGTGGTCACTGTACAGTGCTCTCTGATGTTCTTAGCAGCCTTTGGTCCTGTCCAGTGTCTCTCCAGCTCTCTAGGTTGCTGCTAGGCCCGTTCCTCTGCATCTTCAGGGCTGGCTTCAGAGTCACTGCTTTCATCAACACCTTGATTGATGACTTCCCAGGGAAACTCATTTTCCTGTTTTACCTTGAATCAACTTGCTTCTGTTTTTTTTTGTAATGAAATTGTGTGTTAGAACATTGGTTCTATGTTTGACGTGTACAGCATCAAGGGACTCTGCTTTAACTTGCTGCCCTGAATTGTGTGACCGGCCCCACCAGCTCTTGCCTCTCTTCTCCTTTATCCTCCTTGCACTGATTCACCTGGGCTGATATAATGGTCTGTCTACACGTGGAACGTTGCACTTTAAAGCTCCTTGAGTTCCGGTTCCAAAGCCTGGGACTCGTGGGTCCGCGTTTCCGAGCATGGGCTCCTCCGCGTCCCACGCCGTGGAGCCCGTGAAGGTCGCCTCCTCGTCCGAGGCCCCCTGCTCCGCCCAGCCCGCAGCCCTCGCAGCAGCCGGGGAGCCGACGCCCTCGGCAGCAGAGCTCGGACTTCGTAACTGCTGGAGCTGTCGCTTGCTCTCCGGGGCGGGGCTGATCGGGGCGGGCGGATACGTGTACTGGGTGGCCCGAAAGCCCATGAAGATGGGCTATGCCCCCAGTCCGGGGACAATTGCGCAGATGGTCGTCGGCATCAGCATTGCTTGTTGGGGTGTAGTCATCTTGACAGATCCCAAAGGAAAAGCTTACCGTACTGTTTGAACGTGTCGCCAGTGAATTTGTCATCTTTTCTACCTGTCTCCATGGTAAACAGAGCAAGCATGGAACTTACGGATGCATGGACATCGAGACACTTGAGATCTGTGCTTACTGCAAGACTGAAGAGACAAATACGGATTGTCATTTATTGGCCATGGGCATTTGTGACCTCAGGTTCCATAAGGACCAATAAATCCCTTAGAGAAGAAAAAAAAAAAAAAAAAAATAAAGCTCCTTGGTGATGGATGATGTCACAGATCGGAGTCTTCCATGTGCATGTTTACTTCCTAATGATGTCAAGAGGATCAGACCTCTTATGGGCACACATTTAAAGGACAAAGTGATACTTAACTGTCCAAGAGGACACCGAACACCAATTAGTGACAGGACGTGAGGGCCTTTCACCTACAGTCCTTGTACTGTGACCAATGGGCCGTGCCAGCTTTTGGGGTGCTTTTGTGGTTGTTTTTTACTCACTCCGTACATATCTCGTCGGTTCCTGGGTTTTTACTTGCTTCGGAGACTTTAGCAGGAGGCGGGGCTTTGGTGGTTGCAATGGGGGGATTGTTACGTAGCACACGGATCTCGAGTGTGAGTGTGTGATCCTTGGGTGTATTTTCACCTCCAGCTCTGCGACAGGGCAGCGTTGCCTGGTTGTTGACCTGAGAATGGGGTCTGCCAGTCTTGGGTGGGGATGCGGACCTCTTGAGGTCAGAGGTCTAGACCATCCCAACCCTCTCACCCTTGGGTTGTTGTGGGCCCTATTCTGAAACTTTTGGTGTAGACATGCATATGTAAAACTGTCAGAGCACTTTGAAGGGCAGCTCCTCAGCCCCCACTGGTGCCAGACCCTGTTGAAGCCCATCGTTTTCATTGGCAGCCACCAGGAGGAATCCTGGGGGCCTGGGCCTAGCATGTGGCGGCGGGTTGTAAATGGATATTTTTTTCTGACTATTTTGGTTGGTTTTTGGGGGGGGGGGGTGAGCACACTTGTATTTCCCCAGAGGTGCTTTTAGGCTCTACCCTCAGAAATTGTTTCCATCAGTGATCATGACTTCATATGGGATGCTGAGGGTTGATTGTTTTCACTAAGGGAAGCACGTATTCTCTTAATTGTCTCTCCAACCTCACTTTGGTGTCTTTTTTCTGCTAAAGAATTCTGGCACCCACAAGTTAGGTTGATAAGCATTTCTCAATTCTTCATCAGCTCCCTGACCCTGACCAGGCTACCCTGGCTGTTGGGGTGAATACTGCATGTAAAGGTTTTTTAACAAGGGGTTATTTTTATTTTTTCTATTTTATAAGGTAGTTTACTACATTTGATTACATTTCATATTCAAACACCAATCTTAGCTAGTTGGGTTTTTTGAAGGGATGGAGATATTTGTTTAGGGATCACTCCTGCTGCATTAAAAAGAAATTTATTTAGAAAGAGCCAGAGTGGTAGTACAGTGGGGAGGGCTCTGACCTTACACAAGGCCAGCCCAGGTTCAATTCCTGCCATTCCAACTCTCACAACGATACACACACTCTTGTGAGCAGAACGAGGCTAAAGGTTTGAATGAGGCAGGCCATTCTGGGATGTGGTCCTTTCCCATGGCTAGGGTTTGTAAATGAATATTTACTTTTCAGACAATTTTGGGTTTTTTTGGGGGGGCATACCTATATGTGCTTGTAATGGAGTTCTTTTTTAAGCAAGATATTTGTTTTTTGGGGGGGTATGAGGAGATATTTATTCAGGGATCAATCCTAATGTGTTGGAATGAAATTTATTTAGAAAGGACTGGGGTGGTATTACTGTGGGGGTGGCACTTCCCATGCACAGGTTGAATTCCCAGACATTCCAGCAGTCCCCGAAGCCACACTAGGGGTGATCCCTCCGTACGGAAGTTGAAATCAGCCCTGAGCACTGCCTGTTGTGGCTCCTAATTGAAACACCACACACACAGACACAATAATTGTGTGAGGAAAAAGAGCCTTAAAGTTTGTCCTTCTGAGGCCCTGTGACTGCCCCCATGGTAGAACCACTTTGGGAGCTGTGGTCGCTGTGGGCAGCCTTAAAGCTCAGAGGGTGCTTAATCAAAGGGGCTCCTGGTCTAGGAGTCAGTCCCTGGCTGGGCCCATAAGACACTTTCTGTGGTGCCAAGGGTGGAATCCTGGTTCGGGTCTCAGGGCTGCAGTTTCCTGCTCTGTAGATGGAGGCAGCAGTTGTCCTGACAGACAGCCCCAATTCCAGACATTTGTGCATTCCCGGGAGAGGAAGGAGCATCTGCTAGTGTCTCCGTGAGGGGCGGGGCGGTGATTTGGTGCCCAAGGGAGCCTACCATCAGGACCTTTCCAGGTCTAAGACAGGAACATTCGGGTTCAGGGCTAGAGGTCTGTATTTTCTCGTCTCACAGCTCTGACTACTCCAGCTCTTGGTTTGGATTCTAATGCTGAGCCATAAAATAATGGGCAGGACAAAGTGGTCCTGAGTCTTGGTCCCGGAGATTGCTGGCAAAAAAAGTCTTTGTGAATTTTAGTCCTTTAATAAAAACTTTGGAGATTCTAGCGGGGGAGTGCAGCTACTCGTATAGCCTCGACCAAAGACAGGCCTGTCTCTCTTCGGAGAAGGCCGTCCTCTTCGAGCGCGCAGCTTTAGGAGGGGCGCCCATGGAGCGGTGAAAGAGGAAGGGGACACCCGCCTAGCCGAATCAACCCTGGTGATCAATGGGGTGACATATGTCGCAGCCAGAGTGATCGCACATCTGTAGGGCATTTGCCTTGCATGCAGTCGGCCTGGCACAGCCGGCGTCGATTCCTCTGCCCCTCTAGGAATACCGAGAGTGTCTCACCCGCACAGAAAAGCCTGGCAAGCTACCCGTGACTATTCAATATGCCAAATATAGTAACAACAAGTCTCACGGTGGAGACTTTCCTGGGTCCGCTCTTGCAAATCAATGAATAATGGGAGGACCATGACTGGCACTGTGAATTAAAACTTTAATAAAGACTTTCTGCTGCATATGCCATCTGTTCAGTCCCTCACTGTCCATCTATCCTGGATCTGGCTGCCCCCAGATGCCCTGGTCACCTGATTGAGGAAAGAAACAAGCAAAAAAAAAAAAATACGTTCCTTACCAGAAAGTACCTGGCCCGGAAAACTCGGCGCCTGGCCCTTTAAGGCTGTGATTGGCCATGCCTGTGACGTCATGGAACCCGGGTCTTTCCCTCCCGCCCTCCACCCCCAGTGGCTCAGCTTTCCAGGTGGAAATTCCGCTCAGCCGCCATTGTTGGCAAAGGTGAGGGGTGGGGAAAGGGCAGGCATTGGGGTACCCATGGAAAGGGGGGGGGTGGGGGGGACGTCCCAGCGGGCCGGGCTGAGTGGTGGCTCTGGGCGCCCTGAACGCCCCCCCCCGCGGCCTCCGCCTTTTGAGCGGCCTTCTGAGCGGAGGGGTCGCTTTGTCCCAGTCGGGGGTGGTGGTCCGTCCCTGGGTCGCCTCGGACCCCTGCCGAGAGGTTTGTCTGCCAAGTCAGTTGGTTTTTAGGAAACGAGGGAGGTTTCCCGAAGAAAAGTGATTTAGGAAGCCGCCTGGGAGCACTAGTCTTGCAGGGGGTCACTGGCCTCCCACGCCTGTGGGAGGCGTTTGTTTCTTTCTTGTTTTCAAAACAATTTTTGTTCAGGGCTAACTCCTGGCTCTGCACTCAGGGATTGCTCCTGGTGGTGCTCGGGGGATCCGAGGGGATGCTGGCTCCAATCCTGGTCAGCAGCATACAAGGCAAATGTCCCCTCCATGTACTAGCCTCCTGCCCTGTGGTGGTGGTGGGGGTGGCGATTCCTGATACATATGAAACACGCTGCTGACTGTGGGGGCCTCGGGCTCCTGGATCTAGGTGTCTGTGCAGCACTTACACTGCCGTTCACTCCTCTGGACTCTCCATCTTGGAATGATCCTGTGTTTGCAAATTTGAAATCAATATTATTATTATTATTATTATTTTGCTTTTTGCTTCACGCTTGGCAATGCACAGGGGTTTCTCCTGGCTCTGCACTCAGGAGTTACTCCTGGCTGTGCTCAGGGGACCATATGGGATGCTGGAACTCAAACCCGGGTTGGCCACGTGCAAGGTAAACGCCCTATCCGCTGTGCTATCTCTCCAGCCCCCTGAAATCAATATTATTATTCCAATGAAGAAGTTCAGTGGAACAGCATGTTAGTTTTAAGGTGCAGGCTGGCCATGGCCAGAAAGAAATCCAGAATCCAATTCTTGGAGGTAGAGGACCTTTAATGTGTATTCAAAAAATAAATACGAATACCACGGCACCTCTCGCCACCTGTGTTCAGTGGTCGCACACTGCTTTCCCCACCCTGAATGGCCACTGGCCATGGGTTCACAAAGGAGAAAACAAGGGCCTGGCTGGTTGGTATCAGTTACAGTTTATCCCAATCCCATCTCCATTCACTTTTGATTTTCCACTATTCTCTCTCTTTTCTCCTTTATCCTCCTCTCCTGATTCTCCTGGATTCCTCCTGGATTCTTTCTTCCCTACTTTCCATGATACTCTTCTCCATTCTCTCTTACTCTCCCCTTGTATTCTCCTTCGAACATTATCCTTGGTTCTTTCCCCTCGCCCACTCTTCCAGCCTCCTCCTCTTGATTCTTCCTCCTGTATTCTCCCCTGTTCTTGGCTCGGATTCCTCCCTGATCCCTCCTCCAACCTGCCTCCTGCCCACTGTTGCAGCTTTAGTTATATCCCAAGTCATAAGCCTTGGAAACATCATAAAATTCATACTACATAACTCGATTCCCTAATAAGAGTTTACAGTGTCAAAACAGGCCCCCTTGGTAAAGCCTGTTTTGTTTGTACCAGAGTGTTAGGTGTGCTTCAGAAGTACAGCCAGGAAGGAAACGATCCTGGTAGTGTGTGACAAGTTCCTGTGATGTCAGTCAATAAGGGAAAGTCTATGTGAGTGTCCAGATATTTGGATTTCACGCGTATGTTAACGTGTAGTTTCTGGATCTTCTGGTGAAAGCCAGGAAGAATGTGGATAAATAAAAAGGCAAAAGAGATGCTCCTCGCTTAGGGCTGTCAAGGCTCTCCACTGTCCCATTGTTTGCTCTGACTCGGACTTGACTATTTTTTTTCCTTTTCGGTCACACCCAGACATGCTTAGGTGTTACTCCCGCCTCCTGAGGAATTACTCCTACCTTGGGGACCATAGG